GAGGACGCTGCGGGACTTGAGGACGGAACTAATCTGAAGAGAAGACAACGACAGCTAGAGGTTGAGCGACTGGGGTTCTAGGAGACTGGAGGCTGGGAGATCCGGGGGGAGGGTGGGGGGGGGGGGGGGACGTAAGGTCGGCGGCGTCGCGACGTGGGAGGGAAGGGGAGGGGAACATCGTCGGTGAGCGGGCGGGAGAGGGGGAGGGGCGGCGGCGGGCTGGTGTTGTGTGCGTCATCGCAGTCTCCCAGCCGCGCCTGGCATAGCCCGGTCCGCTGTTGCTGTTGTGATTCGGTGTATGCTGAGCGTCCAGCTCCAACTCTCAAGCCGGAAGAGCTGGTTTTCGGGAGACTGAAAAACATCGAGGCAAGTGTTCTCGCGCGTCATGAGATCTTTCCTCTGGGAGAAGTATGCTGGTCAGTGAGTGGTGCGCTGTTGTCGCGGTTTCTCGGCTGCGCGGAGCTTAAGTGGCGTCGAAACGAAGCGTCTTGCGTTTGTCGCCACTGGCAAGATCATGTCAGATGGCGTTTGTAAGCCAGTTTGCTGGTGGACGATGAATGAAAGGATGTGGCTTGACGACTTTGTGACGCTCTGGTGACTTTGGTGGGAGATTTTGTCGATATGGTGTCGGTTTTTTGCCCATCTCCTGCCCTCAAGCTGGGCCGTTCTGCAGTCGAACTCGACGTTCCTACGTAGACACACCTGCGCGCTGTAAGCCGGCGCGGATCCGGCATCCATTCTCGCGAGGATTTCGTCCGGCCGTTCGCATCATCTATTCTCGCGATCCTCTCCCCCCCCCCCCCTCCTCCGATTTTAACACCGTACCGACAACCCGAAGACCAAACGTGAGGTCAAACCTCCCCGCCTTCTGGCCGTCTCGGGGAGCCGCGGCGCCGCACTCGACCCCCTTCCCCTCTCCCTCGCTCCCCCGGCCGTGCAGCCGGCGGTGACCGCGAGCGCCCCCGCAGTGACCGCCGGTGACCCCGGCGCCGCCGCGCCGCCAGCGCCGGGCGAGCTCTCGGCGGCGGCACCGCCGGGCCGACCGGGCCCGCCGCCGGCTTCGCCGCTAATCATGTCAGCGTAATTGCAACGGCGACCATGACTTCCACACCGGGCTGAACCGGGACCGGCGAAGGCGGCGGCGGCGGCGAAGGCGGCGGCGCGGCGCGGCGCGGACGCTGTGAATGACCTCCCCGCGAGAGGCGGTTGGGCGGCGCAAGGACGCCGGAGCGGTTTTTGCCGCGCTGCACGGCCGCCGAGCGCGGAGGCGCGGCCGCCGTGTCGCAGGTGTTGCGGATCGAGCTGATGCCCGAAGTGACGCTGGTCTGCGCTGTGTGTGCTGAGGTCTTGCGCTGTTCGGCGCGCGTTTCACGCGGGAGAGATAGGTTGGGAGCATGGTTTTTGAAAACGGTGGTCGTTTTTTTGCGTGGCGGCGTATCTGTCTGCTGGCAACACAGGTGCGAAGCACAACGTTCACGGCGCGCCATGCTCTCATCGGCGCCAGCGCTGCCGCCCCTCCCCTGCTTCGCGCTTCGATTCCTTCCCCCGCCCCCTCCCCCTCCCCCTCCCCCTGTCGCGTCCGCTCCCCTCGGCGTGGCGTCTCTGCGGCGCCCCTCTTACCTGTCCCGCCCTCGGACGGACGGATGGAGGAGGAGGGGGAGGGGGAGGGGCGTTGACCGCCGGCCGCCCCGACCAGTTCTTCATGGCGGAACGCCCCCGGCGCGACGCCGCCAGCTGGGGCTGGCGAGGGCTGGGCGGACACTTGGGCGGGCGCCGCCGCGGAGTGGAAGTGCTGAGGCAGGCAGAACTAGGGCAGGCTGAGCTGGGGCGTGCTGAGCTGGGCCGACTGAACTAGGACAGACTGGGCTGGGGCAGAGTAGGCTAGGACAGACTGAGGAGGGCCGACTGGGCTAGGGCAGACTGAGCAGGGGCAGCCGATTGAACTAGGGCAGACTGAGCTGGGGCTGACTGGACTAGGGCGCACCAGAACGCCGGGACAGAGGCGTGGAGGGCAGACAGCGCTGCAGCGGGAGAGGGAGGGCGGGGGCGCTGGGGCAGAGTGTGGTGAGGTTGGGGGGGGGGGGGGGGGCAGGGGGATCGCTGGAATAGATGGCGTCAGGGAAAGCCATGCTGCAGATGGAGTCACCGAGCCTAACTGGGGCCTAACATGTAGGCCAAACCGCGTTGCGGCAAGACCGCTCTGGCGCAGGCCAGGAGAAATGACCTCTGCACTGATTGCGCCTGGCGTGCAGCAGACTCCGCGCTAAGTGCAGAGGATGCAACGCGGAAACAAACACGAATTATTCCTACAGAAAATTGCTTGGATGTTTCTTAACATACAGTTTGTACGAATACCCATTTTTTCTCGCGCGTACCTGCGTCTATACGCATGTGAAGTGTTCACAGGGGTGGTTAGGGCTTTCAGCATGCGAGGATGATCCGATCAACTTCCAGCTGAATTCGTTAAGTGAATTACGCGATGCAGTTCTCACCAACACGATCTGGATTCAACACGAATCCATCCCAAGCTTTCCCGTTGACTCACACTGCACTCCACGTCCGTCTGGTCTGCCGTCTTTATCGCGCAGTCCGTGGCTTGTCGGACAGATGAATACAGTGCAGCAGACGAAGGTCATATGTCCGGAAAACGCGCTTACGTGATTCTTCGATTTCGATTGGTTCGTGCCCGGCGGCTGTTTTTTTTTTTGGCGTCTTTCCTTTTCCTTTGCTTTTTCCTTCGCTGTTTTTCGTTTTCTTTTACCTCGCGCGGTGTCTGGCGGCAACAGAGCGACTTCTCCGCAGCAACCTAGCGACTCTACTTAAATGGGTTTAGTCTGCTGACGTGGTTGAAGGGGCAGGGAGAAGAATGCAGAGGTGATGATGGTGTTTTAGTGCTGCCATCTGTCAGGAATAACCGTTATGTCGTCGTCGTGCCAACGCCCACCTGTCGGCCCATGGCTAACAAAACCGCGCTTTCCACAGGTGCTGCCACCTATAACAAACCATGGCGTCGGCGGGCGACGCCTACAGGTTAAAATGGCAAACGCACGTGCCCAGCCTGTGCACCGAATTTATGGAGCTGCGAAAGAACGAGAGTTACGTGGACGTGACGCTGGTCTGTTGCGGTGGTGAGATCAAAGGTGGGTGTTCAGCAGTTCGAAAGATACCGTGCTACTTTGGTGCCCATGTGGACAGGGGATTAAGTGTGGCATCAGGAGCAGCTGCCAGGGTGTCATGTCTGGCCTCCCAGAAAGTAATACGACCACTAAGAAGAGTAGAAAGGGCCGTTGTAGCCTTGTTGGTGTGGTTTAATCCTGGTGATGACGTGAATGGTCTTTATCCTTGTTTTTCAGGTTAAGTTGGCGTTTGAACTTCGGAAAATATTAAAACGCATCACATGTGATGAAATGTAAATTCCTGACATCCACTGACATTCTACTAAGAACATTTCGTTACGCCGGCTTACGTGCAGAAATGTGTAATCCAGCCGGGTAGATAAATCGTCGCTTGTTCGGCAGCCCATCGGCTTCTGCTGTCGGCCTGTAGTCCACTGCTGGAGAAGCTTCTTTCGGCTAATCAGGAGTCAGAAGCCACGCTTATCCTGCCCGACCTACAGGTAACCACGGCAACGTGTTGCGGATGTGTGGATGAAACGCAGCCATCAAATTGATCGGTATTTGAAGCCGGGGGAGGTGGTGGGAGGGGACTGATGTGTTCTTGGACCAAACCTGTGCTCTGGGAAACAAACAGACTGTGAATGTTCAGCGGTGAAACATCTTAAGAAGGGACCAGCCACCACCAGGGATTATGTCGTCCCCTAGAGCCAGTGTCGTCGATTAGCTAGTATTCGCAGGCAGAAGCTTCTAAAGTTGTGGGCTGCTGTTGAAATGACAACACGTGTTGCGTTTTGTGGAAGAGCATGCCGTCCAGCTATGATAGCTGGTCGAATTATCACATGTGTTAGCGCGCCAAACGCTGCCGGCGGCATGCGCCCCCCCCCCCCCCCGTCCCAGCAAGCCCGCTGGACCGGTCATTCCTTAAAAGCCAGCGCTATCAATAGCCAGAATCGACACTAACAGTTTGCGAGTGTGCCGACAGGTGTCATGCGTGCGGTCGCTTATCGAGTACGTCTACACGGGCGAGATTTCCGTTCACGACTCGGAGATTGACGGCCTTGTGGACGCGGCGACAATGCTGGAGGTCCGCGGCATTGCAATGACCGGGTCACCAAACTCAGTGAAGGTGAGCTCCCGCCACGTGAACTGAAGCGCTTTTGTGACCCGCTGTGTTGTCCCCATTTTGTTTTTTAATTGTGTTACTCCTACTGTCGATCCCATTTTGACGAGGCTGCCACTGCACCCGCTTGCTGTGGGGCCTGCTCTTCTATACTGATTTAGGAAGAGATTCATGTATTCGCGTTTCTTGTGCCTCAGTGCCTTGTCTCCATTGCTCGCGTTTTGCCTGAGGCGTTTTGCCTAAGGCGTTTTTCCGGAGGCGTATTGCCTGAGTTTGCAGTCTCCTCGCCGTGCCCGCGTCCGGCGTTTTTCCTGCGTCCGGCGTCTTCCCACCGCGCCCGTGTCCGGCGTTCTCCCTGCGTCTGGCGTCTTCCCACTGTTTCCGCATCAGGCACGCCCCCTAGGTCTCCACTCGCCGCACCATGCCCGCCTCTGGCCCCGCCTGTGGCGCTTCCCGAACACCTCGCGCTTCCCCCCTGTCTGTCATCTGCCCGCCGGACCCTGACGTCCCCCCGCGCCCCTTTCAGCAGCGGTCGGCAGCGCTGGCCGGGCTGCCACTGCCGCTGCCGTTCGCCTTCCCGCCGCCGCCGCTGGCGGCCGCCGCCGCGGCTGCGGCCGCGCCCCTGCTCACCTCGCCGGTCAAGTCGCTGCTGCGGAAGAACCTGGCGCCGGCGCGCGCCGACGCCGAGCGACGCCGGTCCCCGCTCAAGCGGCGCCCGTCCTCCGAGGACGACGACGGCAGGAGGACGCGGCCGCGCGAGGAGGCGCCGCAAGAGGTGCGCCGCTGCTCCACGCCGCTGTTTGTGGTAGGTGTGGCAGGTGCGGGGGGGGGGGGGGGCTATGGTTGTGGAGGTGGGAGGGAGTCGCCCATGTTTGGAAGGTTGCGAGCTAGCTTGTGGTGGGGTGTCAGCTCGGTATGAATGGGTTTCAGTTTGGATGGATTTTTCATTGATAGCATGTTTGCATAGCGTTTGTCTATCGAGTGGAGCCAAGCATTGTGCGTGTGTGTTTTCGGATAGATTTGTGTCTATAGTTGAGCTTCACAAGATCTCCGCTAAATTCCTTATTTTGGGATGCGTTACAGATTTTGCTCTCTAGTGACATGAAGTATAATGCTAACTGGTATATCATGTTATTTGAGGACGCCCAGGATAAAGCGACAGAGGTTGCACTACCGTATTCTTACATTTGGATATTTCACTGTCCCATTACAGATATTCCTGAGATAAGTTAAGTACGTTTGCAATTGCTGCGTTCATCAGTGGCACCCACTACCCCAGTTTTTACGAAAACTCCACCCAAAAATGTCATCCCCTCACCGGATTCGAACCCGACCCGCCGGCACTGAGACCCGCCGCCGCCATCCCTGACGCCGGGCGGCCGACAGGACACGAACGGTGCCGGGGAGGCGCGTCGTCAGAGCAGCAGCCACTCGGACCGGAGCGACGCGTCCGAGCGGCAACGCGTGACAACGACGTCACAGGAGGTGGCCGACGACTCCGTCTCGTCACTGAACTCGTCCTTCGTGTCGGAGGCCGAGGCGGGCCTGCTTAACCCCCAGGTGAGCGGCAGCGGGGAGGGAAGGGGCCTGCTTAACCCCCAGGTGAGCGGCAGCGGGGAGGGAAGGGGCCTGCTTAACCCCCAGGTGAGCGGCAGCGGGGAGGGAAGGGGCCTGATTAACCCCCAGGTGAGCGGCAGCGGGAGGGAAGGGGCTGTTAACCCCCAGGTGAGCGCAGCGGGGAGGGAAGGGGCCTGCTTAACCCCCAGGTGAGCGGCAGCGGGGAGGGAAGGGGCCTGCTTAACCCCCAGGTGAGCGGCAGCAAGGAGGGAAGGGGCCTGCTTAACCCCCAGGTGAGCGGCAGCGGGGAGGGAAGGGGCCTGCTTAACCCCCAGGTGAGCGGCAGCAAGGAGGGAAGGGGCCTGATTAACCTCCCAGGTGAGCGGCAGCAGACAGGGAAAGAGGCCTGTTGATGGGGGGGGGGGGGGGGGGGGCTACCGAGCTTGGATGAGCTGGCAGGGCGGATGAAGCAGAAAAAATATCGGTAAATGAAATGATTTCAACGTGGGGTGTCGAACACAACGGTCACCCGAAAAACAAGGCATATTCGTTTTCTTGGACGCACCACTCCGCTCATCCTAGGCGACGACCTCCGACCAGTGTAAAGGTTCAACGGTTTCACGACGCTTACGACTTCAGTCGTGTCTAAATCTGGACACGTTACTTAGCATGTGGTTGAATGAAACAGCTGTTACATTGCACGCATGTAATTCGTGCTGTTGCGTTCTTCGAAACGTGGCGCCCCACATCACCTTGAAAGTCCGAAGCCAAAATTAGGTCATCAAGTCATCCTACAATCGTCTCCGGATTTCGCTTCACGGCTCCTACCCAAAATCCAGGCATAACACCAATCTGTCTGATTTATACCTAATTTAAGTTACCTTTATTCTAATTTTGATTTTGTGTTTATTATGCTGCCTGGCCTCTGTCTAGCCTCCTGCGTGGCGTGAAGCTGCCGAGCTCGACTAACCCTAGTGGCTGGCGTCATCTACCCTTCCGTCGTCCAGACCTTTGCCCTCCGCCTGACCTCTGCTTGACCCCATCTGACAGTCTGACCCCGTCTGACAGTCTGACCCCATTTAACACAGTCCGGACCCCGTCTGACCCCGTCTGATCCATGTGACCTCAGGTGGAGCTGAGCGAGGGCCCGGGTCGGGTGCGGGTCAAGGCCGAGCTGAACTCTCCGCTGACCTCGCCGCACCTGTCCGGCGCGCTGGACGGCGCCGCCGGCAGCTGCGTCTTCTGCAAGAAACACTTCGTCAGTGCTGATGACCTGAAGGACCACATCAGTCGGGTGCATGTCACAGACAGACTGGAGAAGCAGTTTTAAGGGTGAGAGACCGGGCTCGGTGGTGAGAGACGGGCTCGGGCATGTGAGCGGGACGGGCTGTAGGGCTGGGTGTTGAGAGGAACGGGCTCAGGTGGTGAGGGACGGGCTCAGGTGGTGAGAGACGGGCTGGGGTGTTGAGGGGAACGGGCTCAGGTGGTCAGGGACGGGCTCAGGTGGTGAGAGATGGGCTCGGGTGGTGAGAGGAACGGGCTCAGGTGGTGAGGGACGGGCTCAGGTAGTGAGAGACGGGCTGGGGTGTTAAGAGGAACGGGCTCAGGTGGTGAGAGACGGGCTCAGGTAGTGAGAGACGGGCTCGGGTGGTGAGAGGAACGGGCTCAGGTAGTGAGAGATAGGCTCAGGTGATGAGAGACGGGCTCGGGCTGTGAGAGACGGGCTCGAGTGGACATCGCCCGAGAGTTAGCTGTTCGAGCTCGTTGGTAGAATGAGGCGGCCTGCGTTCGGCTCCACCTATCTGACTGACTGACTGACTGACGTGACGCGTTCTGTTCGTAATGTTCATCCATGTATGTCCCGTGGTCTGCCGACGGCTGGGCGCTTGTCCACAGCAATCGATAATCGCGGATTTTATCGAAAATGCTATCGAGAATGCCACACCGCGGCCAGCCAATAGCGTAACACACGACGCTCATGCACTTTCATTACGGAGCTGTTATTCGTCACATCACTGCCCCACGACTTTGCCGTTCCGCTGTATCGCCTTGCCGTCATGTGAGAAACGCCACGTGATATTTGCATCTCTCAACATCTCACGTGGCACGTTGCCTCCATCACGTGGGAAACACCACGTGCAGCAATCACTTGCCACCGTCACCGCCGTGCTCCACTATTAATGGTCGTCGCCGCGTGCTGCCATAACACGCGGCACTCACGTGCCGTGCGTAATACCTGCAACAGCCATTTTCCACATATGCCTCCTCGCGCTGCCCCCTCGCGGCGCCATCGCGCGCCTCCATCACACACCGTCACCCGCATCACACACCGCCGCCGCACACCGCCACCACCCGTCCGCGCACACCCGCCTCCATGGCGCGCCATCACCGCCACGTGCCTGTCCCGTTGCAGTGCGAGTTCTGTCCGGCGGCGTTCGCGCGCTCGGCGCACCTGAAGCGCCACGTGCGCACGCACACGGGCGAGCGGCCGTACGCGTGCCAGGTGTGTCCGCGAGCCTTCAGCCGTCAGGACAAGCTGAAGTGTCACATGGACCGACATACGGAGGACGAGCGGCGCAAGGCGCAGGTGAGACGACGGACGGGTGAGGAATGCCGTGGGATCCCGGAATGCGGTGGGATCTCGGAATGCGGTGTGATCTCAGGATGCGGTGTGATCTCGGAATGCGGGGTGAGTGTGATTTCTGGATGCGGTGTGATCTCGGAATGCGGTGCGACCTCGGAATGCAGTGGGATCTGGAATGAGGTGTGATATCGAAATGCGGTGTGATCTCGGAATGCGATGTGATTTCTGGATGCGGTGTGATCTCGGAATACGGTGTGTGATCTCGGAATGCGATGTGATCTCGGCATGAAGTGTAATCTCGGAATGCGGTGTGATTTCTGGGTGCGATGTGATCTCGGAATGGGTGTAAAACTCGGGATGTGGTGTGATCCCGGAATGCGGTGTGATCTCTGAATGTGGTGGGTTTCGGAATGCGGTGGGATCTCGGAATGCGGTGTTGATTTCTGGGTGTGTGTGATCTCGGAAAGTGGCGTAGACTCGAGATGGTGGGATCTCGGAATGCGGTGTGATTTCTGAACGCAGTGTGATCTCGGTGTGGTTGTGGGCTGGTCCGATGTTGTCAATATGTAAATGTTGATGGGGTCATGGTGTGGGCGGCTGGCGTGACGCTGCCATGGTGTGGGCGGCTGGCGTGACGCTGCCATGGTGTGGGCGGCTGGCGTGACGCTGCCATGGTGTGGGCGGCTGGCGTGATGCTGCCGTGCGGAGGGAGATGGTCGGACGTTCTCATCTGGCGGGATGTGATGACACTGATGTCATGACACCGGCGGGATTTCGTTACACTGCGCGATGTCGTGGCCTGGTCAGTTGCCGTGCTCCCATGCTTTGCTATCACGTGGTCTGGTGTCATGATCTGGCTGTACGTCGTTAGGCCTTATTTTCTGGCCTTAACACGTGTCTTGTTGATCTGACTTGTAAAATACCCTGGTAAATGACCTCTTACAATATGAATCGTATCTTAAGTTTACGTCTACTATAAAACACTGTTTAAGATGGCCCATGTAACATGCCGGACACACGGTGTCGCTTATCGTACAAGTTGACTGCCAACGATGTGAAATTTTTAATTTCATGCTACGTTCATCCATAACCTCACTACTTCGCGCCCAAGTTTCAAAACCCACACCTTCAACTCACGGCGCATCCCTTGACCCACCAATCGGGCGCCGCCGCCGTGCTGACGCCATCCGTCTTCGGCAGACGCCGGACGGGTCTTCGCTGCCGAGTCCTACGGCCAGCATGCAGAGCTACCTACGGAGCCTGAACCGGAGCGCACTGGCGCTGGTATCGCCCTCTGCGCGGCCGGCGCCGGCCGAGCCGCTGTACCCGTGTCCGCTGCCGCCGGCGCCGCTCGGCTCCTCCAACCCGGGCCTGCCGTACCTGCAGACGATCCTCGACGACGTGCAGATCGTGCGCGACAAGAAGCCGGCGTCGTACTATCGGAACATGAAGCGCTCGTCGTCGGAGAGTCTGCTCACGTCGGTGCGCCGCCTGGGCGAGTGCACCATCAAGATGGCCACGCCGGTGGAGTGACGTCGCCCTCGGCGGTGTGACGTCAGGTGGCGTCAGGTGACGTCGGGTGACGCTGCCGGGATGGCTGGTGGCGTTGGCTGACGCCCGGCGCTGCCGGACTACAGGGACGTCAGTGGCGTCAGTGACCGGCGGATGCGTCAGGACGCGTCGCCCGCTCGAGATGTTCGGTCATGCGTGGTGACGAGGAGAAAATATGCGCGACGACACTCCACCCTTGCGGCACGCCGAGTGCAGGCTCACTCAATGCAGCGCGGGCGCTGTGTGGACACGAAGAGTGGTACCAGGCCAGTTTTGTATGCCGAATGGAGTCTCCAGCAGAAGTTTTGATGAACACGATAGAGCAGTAAGGACGCTGCGAACGTGTCGTAAGACAGATGAATGTCAACAGGGCCACCAGGATCACGCAAGAGTGGCCGTTATTCCATAACTCAGCTTTAACTGCCATCGTTGTGTTGTGCGCGTTCTCTGTTTCCCTTCGCGTTTCGTGACCAGGGCATCTTCGTCGGATCTCACGCGTCGCTGTGGTCGTCTCGTGCCAGCTTGTTGACGCGTTTCCTGTCTCAGAAGAATGAAGCTTTAGTTGAAGGATAACTTTGACGGTGTTCAAGTTGTTGTGAGCCTGTTCGCGGCAGGTTCAGGTGTTCCCTGTTGGTTCTGACCTAGGTTCGACCTTTGATGAGTGCGCCGCGGATGTCGTACCTGCGCTCTTAGACGCATTCGTAGTAAAACTCATCCACATGCTGAGCAATCGTTGGCCTGTCCTGTCGTTCTGAGAAGTTGTACCAGGGCCTTGATGCAGAGTGTCTTGTGTCCAAACAAAACAGTGATGGCGCCGTCCCGGCATACCTCAAGCGGGGTCCGCTAATGGCGCCCAACCCTGGCGCAACCACGTGTTACCAAATTGTTAGGCGCGGCATCAGTCCGGCGGTACAAAACACGGGATGGTCAGCTAACTGGACGGCAGCACAAGGAAGATGGCAGGATTTTTTGTGCTGAACCGGACAAGCCCGTCGTGCAATAGTTGTATTTTCTTGTACATACATATTTATTTATGTTGTTGGGATCGAGAAGTTTTGTACATTTTTACATGGACGTAGGTGTTACTTTGTTCTTCTAGCGCGGAGGTGGTGGCCGTTGGTGCAAAGGCTCCGAGTACAGAAGCTAGGTGGACCCCAAATTGGAGCGGTTGGTTAAGTCGTGTAGCTGAGACATTCGGGGCTTGACGACCCTGTTGTGGGCGTCTCCGACCTGGAGCCTGGCTTGTACAGTGGTGAGGACATGGAGGGGATTGCTCTCCTTCGCCAGCCAAACCAAATGTCAGCTTTTGCCTCATTATGTTGTGGTGCGTGCTTTTCGCTGCGCGCGGGCCGTTTGCAAGCAGGACAGTAACAGTACTTGTGTGCCGGTGGAAAAATCAACTCGATTTGGTATGGCATTATACGCTTGAAATCATTTGACGACATGAAGCGCTCACGTCAGGGCTACTTGATTTTGGAACTGGTTTCGTACATACCGGCTAATTACGGCGTGAAAATGGAAATGTTCGATTATATATGACTGAGAACGTGAGCAGCTGATCATTGTGTTCGTTTTAGGCAAGGCAACGTGAATCGTGAAAAACGTGACGTAGTATGGTGTACCGTGAATAAACGGATGTCATGAAGAGCTTTGTTTTTCGTTATTGTTTCAAATCCACCTTTTCACTGTCTTGCAGAGTGGAGGAGAAACCCCGTAAAAAACAAAGAGGAATTATGAAGTTATTGTCATTTGGAATGAATAATTATCAAGCCTCGTCATTAAAAATGACGAGGTTTTGCCTGCAATTTGTTAGAGGAGGCAACGTTTCAAGACTATTTTGAACTTGGCGAGAACGCTCACGTGTGCTGGGAACGGAAACCGTACTTGATTTCCGCTTGGGGGTTGTAATGGTGTGGCTACGCCCGCTGCTTACCAAAGACATTGGTGGACTGGGATATAGACATATATATATAATGTGTTGTGTGTGTGTGTGTGTGTGGTGTGTGTGTGTGTGGTATCTACATTTTGCCTGACTGAAAATTCTTGAGTCCAGTAACAAGCACAAGTTTGCTTCGAGGAATGTTGGTCATCGTCTTCTCTTCCATTTAAGCAGAATTAATGGCCGGTTTGGTACCACGACTCGAGGTGATTTACTTGCTTGGGAAAATCGCAGCCCTTCGTCACAATGCCTTCCCTCCCCCCCCCCCCTACGTACAACCTCTTCCCATATGGTGAATCTGGACATTACTGTCAACTTTACTGCACACTCGGCTGCTGGGGCTGCATGGCGTCGCCTGCCTCCTGCCATGGCTGGAAGGGCGAGCACCGTGGGTAATCGATCATGCCTCTGGCTCCCAGACGTGTGGCTTGACCATACCTACACTATCTACGCCCATGTTACATCAGATGCTGCCCATATACCATCACGCAGATGCTTCCTCCTCACTGTGTCCTCTGGCTAGCTCTTGCTGGCATCGATTCATCTTGCAGCATCTTGCTGGCATTCGATATCAGCAAATGAAATTATAACTCTGCTTGATGTATCATGATCACCCCTGATCCAAGTGGTCCCTGTGTGATTGTGCCCTCTCCTTCGACAAACCGTGTCGGTGATCTCTTTTCCTGTTGATATACGATACCTGTTTTGTTTCCTGTTGATAGGATGCCGTCTGCTGCTGGACCTCGATTCCTGCGTCGCAGATGCCCTGGTCGCGCCGTGTCGTGAACAATCTAGCGACAACCATGCAAGGTCAATGGATAAGACAAGATCAAGGTCAATGTCAAGGTCAATGGAATGAAGAGGTCAAGGTCAGTGCCAATGGGATTAAGAGGTCAAGGTCAATGTCAATGGGATGACGATATTTTAATCGTCACGCCTTCGCTCCGAAGTGACATGCCGCTGTGCATGCACTCAACAGGATGATGCGATGTCCGTCCCGATGGCTCATCACGGTGTCCGTCCCGATGGCTCATCACGATGTTCGTCCTGATGCTCGTCACGATGTTCGTCCCGATGGCTCGTCACGATGTCCGTCCCGATGGCTCGTCACGATGTCCGTCCCAATGGCTCGTTACGATGTCCGTCACGATGGCTCGTCACGATGTTCGTCCCGATGGCTCGTTACGATGTCCGTCCCGATGGCTCGTCACGATGTCCGTCCCGATGGCTCGTCACGATGTCCGTCACGATGGCTCGTCACGATGTTCGTCCCGATGGCTCGTTACGATGTCCGTCCCGATGCTCGTCCGATGTCCGTCCCGATGGCTCGTCACGATGTCCGTCCCGATGGCTCGTCACGATGTCCGCCCGATGGCTCGGCACGATGTCCGTCCCGATGGCTCGTCACGATGTCCGTCCCGATGGCTCGTCACGATGTCCGTCCCGATGGCTTGTCACGATGTCCGTCTCGATGGCTCGTCACGATGTCCGTCCCGATGGCTCGTCACGATGTCCGTCCCGATGGCTCGTCACGATGTCCGTCTCGATGGCTTGTCACGATGTCCGTCCCGATGGCTCGTCACGATGTCCGTCTCGATGGCTCGTCACGATGTCCGTCTCGATGGCTCGTCACGGTGTCCGTCTCGATGGCTCGTCACGATGTCCGTCCCGATGGCTCGTCACGATGTCCGTCCCGATGGCTCGTCCCGATGTCCGTCCCAGGTTCGTCGCATGTTCGTCCCATGCTCGTCACGATGTCCGTCCCGATGGCTCGTCACGATGTCCGTCCCGATGGCTCGTCACGATGTCCGTCCCGATGGCTCGGACATCGTGATGAGCCATTGGGACGAGTTGGACGAGTTTGTCTGAGCGCCGGTCTCGCTATCCACCCACCCGTGGCGCAGCGGGTCCTGGTCGGTTTAGCGCTCGCGATTTCTCCTTGACAGCTAGGGTTGCGGTCGGTGGCAGCAGCCATGCTAAAGGCCAGGTGACGTACGAGGGTAGGACGGACCGTGCCGAGCAATGCGGCACGTTGAGCTTTCGCGATCGAATACTGCAGCTGATCTGAATTACCGCGATCGGATGGCAGGAATCTCAGGGCTCAAAACAAACACCGCTTAACCTCATCTGTGATGCAAGAAATCCATCCGTTCAAAAGGTAAGGATTAAATGTAAAAAACAGTGACGATTGAGTGACGCCTTATATATGCCCTGTTGTTTGACTCTGCGACTTCGGGTATTTGACCTAGCAGCAGCTGCTATCACCGTTTAACGAGCTGCAAATCCCGAGTGCGATGAATGCTAGAACACAAATGTCCGGCATTGTTCAGCCTCCATAAGGCTGACTCCATAGCTCGCGATATCCGATACCCAGCGGGCTGGAACCTGAACCAGCCTGCAGCCAATACCCGTCCGATCCCCGCCGCAGACTTGCTCGTATCCTGCCGCTAAACTGTTTGTCACGTGACGTGGAGCACGACCCGCACGGGCGGCACGTGCTCTCGCAAACCAAATGCCTGGCCGTAGTCAGTTTACAAAGTGGGATCGCGTTTGCGCCGCTCTTAGCAGCCTAGTCGCTGCAGAAACATCGTCGCCGATTTCAAAAGCGACCGTTGTAAGAGTGGGGTCGCGACGGTTGCCGACTTCTTATCTTCACTTCTCCGCACGACAGTTTGCCGCCTATCAGACGACGGATGTGTGCTTTTTTGTCTGTTGGCACCGGGCCAAGCTGGGGCGGCGCCGCCCCCGTCCACGCTGTCGGGCAGTCGTAGTCTAGGTTCGCGCGCGAGAGGAAGGGGCTTGGTACAGACGACAGCTGGAGCGCCAGACAGGTACACCGCGAGCATGACAGGTGCGTAAGCCCGCCGCCGACGCAGCCCGGGGAGCACCGAAGGGACCGTGAACCACCCTGAGGCAAGTGGTTCAAGCGAGGCAGTTTCTAAGGAATTTGGCGCAAAGTCGCAGGAGTCTGTTTGCGAAAATTTGGTATTTGCCGTTCTGAGGAAAAATGGCCGTGCGTGCCTCAGTCCTTCACGTAACCTTATGTGTCGGTGTGTGAGGATGGTATGTGCCGACGGCGTTTGGCTGAAAGCTGTCCGATCAGGATGATGTTTATAACGCTGCGGTCTGAATAAAATATCGCTGCCCCCATTGCAATGAAGTGATAATCCATAACTACGAAATTAAAAGCGGAGGAAGGCGAGTTGAAACCAAGCCCCGGTCGCGACGCACGAAGTGTGGTAGCAACACAGCACCACTAAATTCAAACAAAGGGGGAACGAGCAATTGCACGGCCAAAAGTGTAGGGTTGGGCATGCATCTGACATCAGTGATCACGGGCCCTCGTGCGTAAACCACGGCCCCTTCCATTTTTTGGGGGGCGTTTTGAAGACTTAGCAACATATCTCGGCAAGCAGAGCAGGTACAGTGGCCAACCTAACTGATAAGATGGGCGTACCATGTCGCCATGTATAATTCACCAGGTGATCTGAATAATATCCTGCCCATGGATATGTCACTAACGGTCCAGAAAGCAGTGAGCGTGACATTTTTCCAAGCGGCCTTCGAAAGCAACACCCCGCGCCCCAAACGGAGATAGATGGAGCTTTGGTGACTGCGTAGTCGAATGGAGCGGCTTTTCCGACCAACGTCGATTAATAAAACGTGCGTCAAACAACCTTGATTTTCACAATTTTGCCAACAGAAATTGCCAGGCTTTTGCTAGGCCTAAAGCCAGGCGATATGCTTGAGTTAATTCGGTTCAGTTCAATTCAACAATTCACGCAGCGTCATTTGTCAAGTTATCCGGGGGATACTAAACATCAGCACACCTGTGCTTGCTTATGTTATGAAAAATGTTATTCCGGTAAAACGTTGGGTCTTCTTGCCATGGTTCTCAAAGACGGCCGACTTCGTTTATTCATGTATTGGTGTCGTCTAAAGGATCATAACACTCGTCTGAGTTTACCGCGCCCTTCCCGTTCGTTTATGTCTTGGTGTCGTCTGAGTTATCATGACAATCGTTTGAGTTCGCCGCGCTCCCCCTCCCCCGCGTGCCAAAGTCGGCCTACTTGTGTATGCG